GAGACCGATTGACAAGTTATACGTGTTCAGAAATCAAAAGTTCTCTAAACACTAATGAGCCAAATTTCAGTGCTTGTTACAGGTTGTAATTGGATGATTATGAAGGTTTATTGTTAGTACACTTATCAATACGGACTGTAAAAATATGGAAAAATATGGAGAGTGAAGCTCTCACCGCAGGGAACAAGATGCATATTTTTATTTATTTTTTGCCCTTCTCCTGGCCTCTCAATATTTTTGTGTATCAATAATTTAATTTTCTGCCCAGAAAATATTATATTTTGTGTAGTGTGACCACGTATGCCTACTCCTAGACCACGCTAGACTAATGATAATCGACCATCAGCGACGTGGAATTCCTCACACCACCGCGATCAGTGTGGTAGTGAAGGATGAGGTCAAGGTCACAATGTCAAGTATAGAAATATTCATGAGATCTGCGTGTTAATGCGCCCCCGCCTTACAACTCTGCAAGCGTAGCTCGGGATTTCTGGGGTGCACTCCGGATTTTACCATATCCACGGCTTCATTTCATGGTTCTATATTTTGTATTTGAGTTCCCATGTGACTTAAGCGTCAATACTACAAAAAAATTATGACTGCACCCGCAGACGGTTCCATGACGCATCGTAAGACTGTCATGCAAATGAAAACAGTGATTCCATTCCAATTGCAACCTGAACTCAAAGCAGTACACATTGTTTTCCACTCCACTTACTTTAACTTCTAAACATCTGATCAATTTCTCATCTGTTTTGACAACAAGGTTTAGATCTCCGACTTTTCAATTATGTTGACCCTGGATTTTTTTCGAATTTTTAAACCTTTGATTCCAGTGGCTCCGAGTTTCCATTGGTCTCTTAAGCTGAACTCTTAATTTGCTCAGTATCCCTATTGGCGTGTTTGCAACCGCGTTGTTTTGTTTTCAGCTTTTGGGCAGGCCTTGGGAAACAAGTTCAGCTGAGATGATTTGCACCGCAATGACACACAAGTGGAAAGCATTAATGCAGCTTGGTCATACGGTTTGGTATGATAGCCGGAATTGTGTCAACAATTGGTAGTGATCTATGAAATAGAATCTTAAGAATTAGAAAGATATAATAAAGAAGAAGACTCGTGAGGCGGTATTTCCAGCCTCACGCGTCAGATCCCCTTGCCCAAAAACTCCACTCAACATGTCTCCCTCTTGAGATACCAGTCGTCTTTGCACTAAATCAGGTTCACTTCGACGGCCTTGGCCATCTCAATCTTGAACTTTGGTGCTCCTGTCCACCTATGCAATGAAGAATTCTGTTCTTCTTACCAAACACTATCATCTGAGACTAAACCAAATGTCTTATCGACGGTTATTGCATCTGTATCTTACTAACCGCTGCCATGCATCTCAACCTGAGTTCTCTGCTATACGTAATCTGAGGCACACTCAAATGAAGAAAGAGGGCACTCCGGCACGGAACAATACTACATCAAGAGGTGAAATTGGAAATGACGAAGATGCTAACTGAAGATAGGAGCAATATCCAATACAACATCAAGGCAACTAATCATTATTGTGTTCGAGACCAAACAACACACACACCATTTGAACCGCATCTGGCGTGACAAACATCTCATCAATAATATGTATGCGCACAGGGAAATCCCTTGTAGACGTCGGCGACTCAACCATTCGAAGGGTCAATGTGCTTTGCCCTAGGAAAGCCGCGCAGAAGTTAACAATGGTGATTGAGAGCAATTGAGCCAATGAACATACCTTCATCCGATGGATTGGGACAAAAAGAAAAGTTTGTGAAAAGGCACTTTGGGCTGGGAGTGTCATGATCCACAACGCGGTATGCTATGGTACCAAACCTGTGAACGGACTCTTTACGTCCATCAGGGTACTGGAGTGTAACTTCTCCTTCCGTCGCTGGAGAAAATATGATGTTAATTTTGGAACGAAGCGTCATCAGTCAGGAACAAGAACATACGAGACTGAAATTGTTGCGCCACGAGCTGCGAGAAGGCAAGTCCTACAGCATCCTCAGGGTTTTCAGAGCAGCGTTGCATACATTGCATTATGGACTAGATCTGAAGGGAAGGAGAGGAAGTGGGGTCAGAAGGTGAAATGAAGCCGCATGGATGCTCATAGGCAAAGAAAACACGTTTCTACCTGATAATGCGCTGTGAGAAAATATACGGGGATGCATGAATAACAATGCAATCGTATGGGATCTTATACATTCGACATCGTCATGACACTGATCCCACTGCATGTAGGCAATGAGTAATCAAACCATGTCACATGTCTACCACTCTTGATCTGCCCACCTCTATCCTTGCCACCAGTAACCCGAAGCGATTGTTCTGAGCATCCACCGTGATTGCGACTACAGACCAGAGGGTTTGCGCGTCCGAACGAATAAAGCCCCTCCCTACGCGTTTTCTATATCAATCCTATCATATCCCTCGATCATCGCTTCTCATCACCAGTCACCCGAGTTGATTGATCTCACCATACCTACCCACCTCGCGGCTATTTCTAAGCCGACAACCCCATGATATCGACACCCGATCACCTCAGGGACTATTCATCACCTTTTTCAAGAACGCAATGGTTCTTTCCAATGTTATCCACAACCCCAGGCCCCACTCCCAATCCTCAACCACTCTCATCGCCACCATCCTCTCTTATCATCAGAAAATCAACGCATGATCATTCAGCTCGCTGACTTTACTTCCACCGTGGCGATCATCGGACTGCTTTGCTACTGCTCTCCTGCATGCCTCCGGGCTCGGCTTTCGACAAAACACAGATGATCCCTCTCCCAAACCAACGATGGACCTCGGCTCGGTATGCGAATCGGCACTCACCCGGTTGTCGACTCTTGGCTTCAAAGTTCAGGTCGTCATATCACCTGGTCACCCGTTTGTCAACTCCTCACTTTCGACAAAACACCCTCCATAAAATTTCCCCTCGAGCAAACCAGCACCGATTGCACGGATCCTGGATCCTCATTTTTGAATCGCACAGGCTCAGGTTCGCCGTTTACATCTGATTCACGTTGACCGGTTTCCTATTTTTGTCATCTCGCTGGTTCATGTTGTCTCGCCTTGACACTGATGATCACATTCCTGTGGATCGACTGTTCAACTTCGTGGGTATAGCCATTGCCATGTCAGAACCCGACAATCCTATCGGTCACTGTATTTATCTTTCTGGCAATTTTCAAATCGAAGGAAAGGTAATTCATCTGATCCCTATGTATTCTCGAAAGATGCTTAGCTTATTGAGCCCATGTAGGTATGGCGGGAGCATGAAGATCACCCCGACTTCGAAACATACTCTTTGTGGATCAGTCTCCATGGTGCTGATCGCGACAACTTCAACTTCTACAATATCCGTGCGACGGCTCGCCGTGATAGTACCTTTAAGTTTCATCCCCATCGTATTTACTTTTTGCGTGGGCCGTTTTTCCCTACCAACACGTCACCTACCAAGGTTGATGAGTTCTTCTTTGAAGGCTCTGATTCCGTCGCGGTCGCCGACCATGCGACTTTCGCGCACAGCTTGGCTGACGGTGTAGGTCTCACCGGCATCGGTCGAGTCCTTTCTGTGGAGCGGGTCGTTGAATCCTCTATGCAGTATCTTAAGCCGGAGTTCACTGCCCCCGATATAAGCAGTCTATACGTGTCTGTCCAACATCGCGACCAACATCCAAAGGTATGCAATCGCCTCACACTGTCGTATCGGTGCCCAATGACTGACTGTACCCCAAGACCGAGAGGGTACAATCGATGATCATGGAGTACCGTATTCCACCCTTCGAGCATCTCGGCCATTCTCATGAAGTCATCCAGGTTGGAACTGAATGTCAGTTCCATGGTTACATTAAAGACTTCAATGAGCGTACCAACTGTTATATCGTGATCGTGAGTCGTCAACAGCTGGCTCGCTCAATCTGGGACTCACATTTATACCTCCATTCTGTAGGTAAATCACTTTGATGTCATCATCAACCCCTCGGAACCACGTGATGGCGTCCCTTCAGTCGCTGAGGAAGCCTTGCCTTCTACCCATCCTCGGATGCGTTTTCCTAGGTACTTCGGATGTGTTTCCCGTTTTAACAGCCTGACCGCTTATTCTTGGATTGCGCATGACCAGAATTATCCAACACCCAGCGAAGCCGGCGTCATTGCCTCCTGGCAATTTAGCGAGCGGACGTTTGCATGTCGTGTCTAGCGGTTCTTCTTCCGATTGCTCATCGCCTTCCAGTGTTTCCACGTCATCAGCTGAAGCAGCATCCGGCGCTGCTACGGGTCATTTCGGTAAAAAGCGAAGTCGTCGCTCTGGCTCAACGTCACCCCCTATGAATGATTTTTGTGGTATGGGTGGAAAGCATTGATTGATTAACTCAAGATTTGCTTTGTCTATACAAACAGCAGCTCAATTTGTTTGTCGTGCCATGACAGTGCCAGAACATTGCACTCAGCTCCTCAGATTTACCACCCACGCCACACGAATAGTAATCACCGGCTGATTCTTCGTATGATGCTTTGGTATCCACGATTTCTCAGTTTTAATCTGCAATTTGTAACCAAAAATTGTTATGCAACAACTGCAACAAATGACTGAGCTCGACCAGATACATTGGCCCACAAGTGCCTCAGGAGAGAATGATAAAGTTCAGATTGTTGGAGTCCCAGCACGCAGTTTCATTTGGGCACTGTATTTACCAATCTGGTTAGAGAAGGTAAAAGTGAGACTCGCGCCTGGTGGAAACCACCCTTACGCTTCAAACGGATTCTGTTCTGCCTCTGAGGCGAAAGGTATCGCCACAGGTCACGGATCCTAATATGGCAGTTGGTCAGGCAGAGGATCATTATTCATTTTAAGGTTCTTGTGACCTCGTGTGCAAGTTTTCTCCTCAACTCTCAAGCAACATTCCCACCCATTCAATAGAATTGCGCACTAGCCCGTCCTCACTTTTGTGCCCGAAGCGGTGCCCGTCGTAGCGCCAACAACGTCCCAAAACCAACCCTGACATTCAGCGTGTCATTTGTTTTTAGTCGACTCACATGCTTTTCTGCTCACGGAATGCCAGGGCACGTACGATTTGCAAAAAAACACCTGCTATTGTTCGGCATTGTTTGCTCACTCAAATGATATCCTGCTCATTGGACCCATTACCTGCATGTGGCGCTTCAAAGATGTAGCTTCTGTTATTGCTCAAAACAGCGCTCCATTTCAAGTATAGTCTACGCAGGAAATGTTTTGAATCAAATTACATCCTGCACCTTCGGTTCATGGTCTGAATGAGCATGGAGGTCAGTGTTGTGGGTCTACGATTAAGCGACTGACCTGTAGACCAAGCGGATCATTGAAACAGTAATGCATGAGTCATCCAAAATCACAACAATAATGACGTGGACAAAGCGCACCATGATGCACCATTTGTGAGTTGACTCACTGAACCCACAGAACCGCCCCGAGACTTCGATGACCATTTCATTGAACAATTGGCTTCTTCTACCCCCACGAACCATAGCCCAGTTGAATATGTACTCAATCTCAAAAGTACGATATCCACTGTCCTGTTACATAACAACTGAGTCAGAATCGCACCTGGCGGGCTACCAAGTGTGACCAAGTGTACTTACCAGGTGGCTGTAATCCGTATGACGCAATAAAACCTTGGTCTGGAGGTGGTTGCCATTCGAGAAGTCCTGAAGACCAACGATGATCCCTAATGAGGATGTGCAGACTCGCCTGGGCTCAATACTTTCTCCGATGGAAGAATCATGCACCTCGCCAGCTGAATGCGCATCGTAGTACAAGATGGGCTGGGGGTGATCATCGAGAGGCAAGAAGCGCCCCGAAAGATTAAAAAATCCTTGCTCATCGACAAAGAAGTGAACTGATCTGTCAGGCAAGAGAGTCAAGGACCATTCATGAAAAGTGACTGCATCCACGGTTGTTGTTACAGTCGTTTCCGCCTGCGGCGAACCGCATAAACGTCTGGGGCTGAACTGTGGTATCTGGAAAAACACATTTAAGCTGTGGAATAAGGATGGGATTGATGAATTGTGCAAACTCACTATTTTGCTCACATCAAAGATAGAATACATAATCACACCGCGGGTCACTGGGAGCGCCATGCTCTTCAATACGGACAGCCTGTTTGTGGCGAAATAGAAGGCAAGTGACGCTTCCGTGCAAGGTACTATTATACAAAATCCTCGAGCTCCTAAAGACCTTTGCTCAAAGTATGATTGATATCATTGACGACTTGCCACTCAGCGTGTTGATCCAACGCCAAGGTTCTAAAACCCGGCTTTGAGAGGATCAATACGTGCTCACAATACCTTTCTTTACGGTGCGGCCCACGTGCAATATTCAGCCTCCCAACAAATTCGGTACCTACCCGAACGAAACACCTACGTGTGAGGCTCGGGGTGTGACTATGCGATTCATCGTCCTGCCGATCTCGGTCTAACATTCATCGATCGTCGGTTTCCTCTCGCCAAGAATCTTGTGGTTCGGCAGTCATGCTTCATTGACTTTGGGTACTGGGCACACGCTTGCTCATTGTCTCTCGGGAACATCTCTGTCGACTCGCCTGGAATAGCCAAATGGTAAGTTTTCATCAGGTCTCCGTTCTCTTTCACCCAGACCCTATACGACTTATTCACACCGGCTGACCATTCCTCATGGAGTATCGCATATTGTTCACTCGACACCCGATTATCATCATTCACACCCGGGTATTCGTGATCATTCACTCCGAGCCGCAAATAATCACGTTGCGAGATAATGTTTCCGGCAATCATACATTATCCTGCTTTCGTGGTTCATAAAAACTTTAGCTCTCGATATACCCTGCGTCACGATTCTCGATCGCGGTCGCATCAATCTACGAGGTATTGGTTCTCATTGCGCACCGCGCCAAAGGATTCACTGTCTACCCGAGCTCTCCATATGCTTTCATATCGCGTGAGCCACTAATATCGTGAACTTGATTGTGCCCGCCGGTCACTAGGCAAACGCGGCGAATACATTCATAGCTGCTCTTCCAGGTCGTTACCCGAGCAAAGTCCACCATCTGATCATGGTTTCTCAACTCAATTGACCGAACCGTTCCGACTTCTATAAAAGCAGCTTCCCCTCGCTGCGATATGTTGTTGTCTTTCTTCAGATACCATTAACACAATATAACACAATATTACGGTCTTTCACAAACAAGTTCGTCTGTGAATTCAACTTCGTCTGTCCCTTTTACACCAGTCTCTAACCATAAGCGTACAAACTGTTTTGTTTTACCCTTCCCCACATCACCGTTTCCAACAGATCGTGATAGATTGACAATATGTCCGAACCCAATCCCTGTACTGGCCATGGTTTATATCTTTCTGGAATCTTTGAGGTCGAAGAGCAGGTGCGTTCGATCCAGTCTTCAATAAGGCCATAGTGAAATAAGCTGAAGTCGTTCATGTTTGCATAGTTAAGTGAAGATCAACGCTACAAGGTTGAGTTTCGCAGCTATTCAACCTCAATTGGTTGCGCGGGGGCGAATCGCGACAAAGACTTGCACTATGAGATCCGTGCTACTGGTTTCAGTACCGAAGCGCTCAAGCTTCAACCAAACCATTTGTATTTTTTGCGCGGAGCTTTCTTCCCCACCAATACCGAGGACACCTACGATGATAATTTGTTTTTTGAAGGCTCTGATCGACTTTGTCTGGGAAGTCTAGACGATTTCTCTGAAAGCTTGGTGGACAAAGTGGGTGTTAGCGGTATTGGCCGAGTTCTTGAGACTAAATTTGTAGTTGAGGATTGCATGCAATACCTCAAATCAAAGGTCACTGACTCCGACAAAAGCAGTTTGTACGCCATTGTCCAACACTGTGATTTCCATCCCGAGGTAAGTCAACTCAATTTTCCTCTACGCCTGTGCGACGTTTCTAATCTTGCTTCTACTAGACTAAGCTTGCCAAAGAAATCACGGTTGAGTACCGCATCCCGCCCTTTAAACACCTTTCTGGTTCGCCTCAAGTCGTTAAGGAAGGTCGTGAATGTCAATTCCACGGCTACATCAAAGATTTCAATGAAGGAACCAACCGTTACGTTGTGATTGTAAGTCCATGCATCTTCGCTCGGTAGTATGTGTTTCTAATCCAGGCCATTGGCAGGTCAATAAGGTAGCCCCAACGTCCGGCCATGTAGAGTTAGCCCCGCGTGGCAGAGGTAACAAGGCCGCGGCGTCGAATGACTCCAACGGCAGACCCAAGATAGTCAAGCATGTTTATTTTTTTTCAACGCCGTGTACAATTCATATGTCCTAATGTTTGAAATGACGATCAGGTTCAAAGCCCGTGGCCTCAACACTCCATTCAAGTCGCCAGTCACTGTGACCGACTCGAGCCCAGACATCCCATTTGGGGGCTCAATCCAATCAGGATCATCTGTTGCTTCTGGTTCAGGGCAATCTACTGGAAGCATCGTGCCTGCACGCTGCGCTGCTCAACCAAGCAAGAAGCGTGCTCGCGCACAACCCAAGCGCAAAGCTGCCAAGGAACCCGAATGGGCTGAGGAGTCTTGAATTTAACCATCGCACGTGGCTTCTGTTGTCCGAATGGCATCTCTGAATTTGGTTCAGCGGTCAAGTCAACATACCCGGAGTGACGTCACCCGTTAAGCAGAGTGGTTTACTCAACGCCCTCGATATCATCCTGACAAAATTTTTACATTCTTTGATTGAGACTTTTGTTATAGACCAGAAAACAACATAGTGTACTTCAACGACCCGTCCTCAGCCCTTCCATAGATTTTTATTCTTCTTCAGAGTCCAATCTCCATTCCTAAAATCAATAAAAGCATAAAAATATTTGTTCTCGAGACTTTCCTAAAAATGTTTTTCCATCGTGGTGTCAATCAAAGTCAGTCTGTTCTGTATTCTTTGATGTGTCTTCTAACAACCGCTTTGAGCGGTGACTGTTTGATCAATTCAATTCCACTCTTTGTCCGTTCAAAAAGTGTCTGTGCTAATTCTTGGCGCACACGATCCAGAGGCATGATAAATCGCCTGAACACGTGTTCAAGTTTTCCTTGCGTTCTCTGAGCCGTGCAATCATAGTGTTCAGAGCCTGACTCGGTCACTAGCAATCCTTGACCTATCGATGCTGCTCATCATAGGAATTGCTATTCATCAGGTCATGTGAAGAACACACGTAAAGACTATCACCATAACAACCGCATTGACACATCAAGAAACTCGTGAAACATATGCCTGGCGCGCTGTGTATCGCGGCACGTGCTTACAGCCGAGATGGAGTTTTGTTCCCAAACTTGACTACCATGTGGTCAGGCATGGTTGGATCGTGCGCCTGGAGTTACACCCGGAGAAATTACTAGCATCAGGCTCGGAAGATTAAAACATACGGCAAATTAAGCTCATTTGTGTTTTGCTGAAAAACCAGCTCGTGATGACGATGAACCCCAAGATACACACCAAACCCCAATCAATCGTGTGGTACTGGTGGTGCTTGCGCAAAAGCCATGGCGTACCACGAAGGTCGAGTGAGTCACTCTAACAGAGACTTTTTTGTTAGCCTTGATTGAATCATAGCACTAATCAATATGGCCGCCAAGACCTTTCCAATGGAGGTCGTCGATATGATTCTATCCCACTTCATCGCACAATCCCCAAAGGAAGTTCCCAATATCTTAAACAGTGCTGATCAGCCTTACCCAACGCGCTCATTGGTGTCGGAGTTGCTCAACTTTCGGCTGATTCAAAAAACCTGGGCAATTGCTGTTATGCCCCACGTCTTCCAAAGCCTTCGTCTGTGCTCGCCGTTCATGATCAATGCCTTATCTCGAACTTTAGGAAACATCGTCAACTCGCCGACGACTCAAGTGCGCCGGTTGTCATTTGAGAATCTCAACTCGCCTATGTTACACATTGCTTCATATCCGATTGCAATTTCTGCGGACGCATCGGACGAACGATGCCTTAGCCCAACCAACTGGGAATCCGACTACTCCACAGTCTTAATGCGAAACCTCCAAGAGATCATCAGCATGTGCGGGCAGACTCTGACTGAGCTGAAATTCAGATTCAGGACATCGGTTGGATTTTCACCCGGCATCATAAGCGCTGTACAGCGGGTCAAAAAACTTGAAGTATTAGATGTTATCGGCGGCTCTTTCGGAGTTCCCATTAACCACGTAGAATCACTGAAGGATCTGGTTGATGCCACTCCCGAGTTACGGTGCCTATCTCTTCACAGCCCCCATCTACTGGGCTCTGGCAGGCCAGAGCCTACCACTTACTCCATGAAAGATTCATGAAAGATTCATAAAAGATTCATGAAAGATTCAGAAAGGGTGCAACAAAGCTTCACTATGTATTCAATAAAGCTTCAATGTAACTTCAGCTGGATATACGATCCAGCACAAGTGACATGGATTCATCTCATATCAAGAAATCAATCATGGGCTCAGGTTATGTTTTTTTCTTATACAAAAGCTTATCTCAAATTAAAATAACCACATAAAAGGTGTCATGTCTAGAATATATTACAACTTCAACATACACATTTATCTCACTCCATATCCATTGCATCTTCGACATGGCTATCTTGCACAAATCCCTACCAGTGGATATGTAAAAAAATTAGTATACAGAAACGCACTGAGTCTCTTCAACCACTCACAATATTTGCTAAGCCAACAATTGAAAGTGTTGCGTTATGGATATCAAATGTACCAGTGGGGTTCTTCATGACAACTAGCTGTCCAATTATGTCCTTGACTTGAATTACATGATATTCCTCATGTGAATCATAAACATCAGTAGCGTTCAGTAAGTCGGGCAAGGAAGAGTACGGATTCTTGTGCTGGTCTTGATGACTCAGGGACTTGAGTGAATGTACAACAAGCAGTGGTGTGGGGAGGTTGTTGAGCCGGACTATTTCAGTGATACATCCAGTCCATCTTTGAGAGTTCAGGGCATATGTAATGTAGCTATTCCCAGGTGTTGTCTTGTGAGTGCTGTGCGCCTTGTTAAAGATCTTGATGGATGAGGTAACATCAAATTTTGAATTGAAGGTGTGACCTGCCTCAAGATGATTGAAACGCTGGAGTGCTTGAAAGCCTGCAGGACTGAGCTTCTTGACAGTCCACCTTGACTGGCGGTTCCTTTGGAGGTAATCTCGGAGGATTGGATCCGCCTCCATGGCAGAATGACTATTGTTAATTGTTGCTCTGAAGAATGCCCGTCTGGCGTGTTGGTGAAGTAATGTCTCACCCTGTCCTTCTGAAGTGTCAAAGACCGGAATCAGCTGATTTTAAGTGATCAACAGAGGGACAAAAAAGACTGACGGATATTTCCGTTCTTTGCTGTCTGAACCAGGCTTCCAATTATCCTCTCACCAGACCAGCTAGCAGTATAAGCTGGTGGCCCAAGCCTTGCTGAGATTTTGCCAATATGTTCTGCAAAATGCAAGTTAGGTTTTTTCTTGATATGTGGCCAGCCATCGCCAAGGGCGGTTTGATAGCCATGAACCAAATTACCAATCTTTTCACCATCGCCTTGGTGAAAACTGCGCAAAGTACATATGTTGCCAATTTGAATGAGTTGCAGCAGGCTGGCAAGGATCTTGGCTGAAGTGGTGCCAGCTTCGCCATTAAGAAAGTGAGGGACCCAAGCAAGTACAATGTAGACTTTGTATAAAGAATGCCACTCTGCTGCTTTGGGAGTCCCAGCACTTGCCATACCAAAGGTACCCTGGGGTTTGGTAAGCCAAGAGGGGGCTTGGGCGTTTTTGATGCATCGCTGGAGCAGATCAAGCTCATAAGATGTGATTTCTGGAACAATCACAGGTATTGGTAGGGGTGGAGGTGGTGATGGTGATGGGGTCCGGCTTGCTTTCTTTTTACCCTTGATTGTACCATCTGATCCAGCAGAAGAAGACCCTTGGTCGTGGAGATTGGATGCTGCTGATCGTGTTCCGTAGGAATGTTGTGATGCTGGTTGAGC